TCTTCCACCATGATCTATGTCGTGTGACCCCGTCCCTCTAAATTTTATTGCTCTCCTCCTCTTAACAGTGCAAGCAAAAGTATAATTAGAAAAATTACAGATCAAATACATCAAATTACACTTACAGTGATCTGTTCCACATTTTTCTCTTCTTCCCTGATATTAAAATTTATCCCATGATTGGAACCGCACAAAGATATGGTTCCTTACAAAATTCATAACCCTATGGAAATGAGCAACACGGAAAAAACCTTTTCAAGAATTAATGATTGATATTTTAAAATATGAAATTAAAATGACATTTACTTCTGTTGAAACATTTTCAAAAATATTATTCGCTAAATTTATATCGACCCATAACGCAATTAATATTTTCGATTATTTGCAAAATTATTTATCTCACTATCCTACGCCAACACAGATCTCATTAGATCTAGGCACAGAAATTAAAAATAAATTATTTCAACAATTTTGTAAACATTTCTTTGAATTATACTTCCACCAATCATTCTAATTCATTAGGATTATTGGATAGAGTTCATTTTTCATTAAGTGAATTATTGAGAATAATTTCACACGAAAGGGAAAACTTATACATTTGAACAAAAATTAAAACTTGCAATAATTTCACACAATAATACTTTAAAACTAACTCCGAATGAAATTACGTTTGGTTTTATACAAGAGAATAATATTTTAAAAAATCTAAATATTTCAGAATTAAATGTGCAAAAATATCATAAAGATTTAGAACTTCTTCATGAATTGACACTTAAAAAGATTGATGCAGAAAAAGAAAAAAACGTAGGGAATAATTAAATAGAAATCGGGAAGACTCACCGGAATTAATGGAACAAGAATTTATTAAAAATACACAATAAAAAATTAAAAGTATAGATAAATTTAGAAAAGTTAATGTGTTATTCCAAGGTAAAAGACAAATGACAACACATGTTGATAAAGTTAGGAGACCAAACAAGGGTAAAAAGAAGAAACATTTTGTTTCAGATGAAGATTCCCTACATGTTAAAAATTCTGACGCTTCATCCCCAGAAGAGACTGATGATAAAAGTAGTTGATCTTACTAATTCACCAGGAATACTTCATTATTCTGTAAATAATATTAGAATTATTAATCAATATTACGAAAATTATAATTTTTGTAATTTAAGTTTATATGAGTAGAAATAATAAATATTGAAAATCATTTAAATAATTTTAAATACATTAACTGATGAAGTTTCAGAATAATTTGAGTTGATTCAGCATATAGATACTAAAACCGTCATAAACGAGGATTATTAAATTGTTTAGGAAATGTTATTAATTGGATAACCGGTAATATGGATGCCGGCGATAAAGAATATTACGATAAAATTATTTCCAACGTTGAAAAGTATAACTATAAGATTGAACATAACATTGAAATATCTGTAAATATTAATAAACGTTTAATCGAAGATTATGAGAATGAAATAAAAATTTTCTAATTAATAAACAAAATTTCGATTCTTTAGAACAAAATGAAAGAGCTTATGATTTGTACATTCATATCACTCATTTATTAAATAAAATTAAAGGTTTGACTTTATCATTATAATTTTGTAAACTTGGTATTGTTCATACTAATTTAATGATTGATGTAATAAAGAATTTGCCAAAGAACATACAACTTATATCAAATAATTCTGAAGTTTTATAGACTAATAGTAAGATCTTTTGCTCAACGGATCATAATATATTCATAATTTTATAAAATTGCCAAATCACGATAATTCTTTTAAAGGATACTTTATTTTACCAGTTCCAAATATTAATAACAATCCTATTTACGAATTGATCTTTACTTACAAAAGGGAGCCTTTCTCTATCAACAAATTGTATCTTTATTAATAACTATAATTGCATAAATCTAAATAAAACAAAATCAAAATGCATTTCATCTATTGTACATAATAGAAATTTACAAGAATGTAAACTAGTATTAAGTAATAAAAATAATATAAAATATTTAGAATATTTAAAGCAGTATATTACCGTAAATATTAGGAAAATAATATATTGTCATCATAATGCTGCATTTTTACCATATGTAGACTTAATTAATATTAACAACTAACTAATTGTGTTTTGCACAATTTGATAAAATTTATATTCATAACTTTTTTTTTTATAGCCATTCTATGATACTGTAATATTAAATACTATAATGATAGAACCAAATAATGATAAAAATTTATAAACGTAATAGTAATTTATATTACCTTTATTAAACATATATGAAAATGTATGTTAAGTAATGTAAACGGGCAAGTGAACCATATTTAAAATCAGTGTAAAAAAAAATTCAAAACACTGTAATATTGCTAAAACTGGTTCGATTTAGAAGATTTTTTAATAGTTTTGTTGGACATTTAATAAACTTTTAAAAAATCTTACCTAGGAATAATAGACTATTAATAGAATAATGTTATTTAAATATTAAACTTTTAAAAAATCCTACCTAGGAATAATATTATTCCATTAAATAAGTATGAATGTTATTTTTTTTTTTTTATCCTTATGAATTTTCTGTATTATTTCAATATAAGCTATATTTCTTTGTTTTTATTTTTGTTATACATACATTATTATCTTTTATGTATCTATTTTTTGTATTTTATTATATTGTAAATATTGGACGAATGTGCCTTAACAGCTTTAATACTCAGTACCCTTATATGTGGTAAAATGTATCATACCTCAATAAAATGGTTAAAAAATAAAAACTTAAAATAAAATAAAAATTCTATTATTCCTAGGTAAGATGTTTTTAAAAGTTTATTAAATTTCCGACAAAACTAAAAAAAAATATTCTAAATCAGACCAGTTTTAGTTACAGTGTTGAATTTTATGCGCTGATTTTAAGTATTGTTCACTTGCCCGTTTACATTACTTTACCTACATTTTAATAGAGGTTTAATATAGGTAATATAAACGACTATTACGTTTACATTACTTTACAGTACACCCGTTTACATTACTTTACCCGTTTACATATAGTAAGAGAACTTCCAACGCACACAAGACTTTTTAAAAAGATTTATTTTGAATGACAAACATAGACACGGTAAATATTAACAATCTAGATCTGATCTGGCATAATAACTAGCTAACAACTGAGTGCATCGTGGGGTTTAAACAGGAGTAGCCAGGAAATGACTCTATAATAGTTCTGAGAAGAAGCTCTCCGTGGTACCTATAGCTCCTCCCTTTCTTAAGTTTTGAACTCCAGTCAACACAAATATTTACCCAAACTTTACATTCCAAAGTTAGTTTCATACAATATACTTAAAATTATTTTATGATCATCAATAAGGGCTGGTGCCTTTGGAATATTTACAATATTTGTAGATACAAGAGAGAATCAAGAGAATCATTGATGCATGATATAAAATAGTAATGATAAGTGTTAATGTTGTCTACAAATGACAATATCTCTAGTCCTGCTACAGTATAATAATTTTTTTCTAGCATTGTAGTATTTAATATTACAGTATCATAAAATGGTTGTAAAATAGTGTTAATAAAGTTATGAGTATAAATTTAATCCAATTGTGAAAAACAACCCTCTATGTTAATATTAATTAAGCCTACATTTGTTAAAAATACAGTATTATTATGACAATCAATTATTTTCCTAATATTTACGGTAATATACTGCTTTAAATATTCTACATATCTTATATTATTTTTATTACTTAGTACTAGTTTACATTCTTGTAAATTTCCATTATGTACGCTAGATGAAAAACATTTTGATTTTGTTTTATTTAGATTTATAGCTAGTTATTATGCCAGATTAGATCTAGATAGTTAATATTTACCGTGTCTATGTTTGTCATTCAAAATAAATCTTTTTAAAAAGTCGTGTGTGCGTTGAAGTTCTTTGACTATGTGTAACCGGGTAAAATAATGTAAACGGGTGTAGTGTAAAGTACTGTAAACGTAATACTCGTTTATATTACTTATATTAAAATGTAGGTGAAATAATGTAAACGGCCAAGTGAACAATATTTAAAATCAGCGTATAAAATTCAATACACTGTAACGTTCCTAAAACTGGTCCGATTTAGAAGATTTTTTTAAAATAGTTTTGTTGGAAATTTAATAAACTTTTAAAAAATCTTCTAAATCGTACCAGTTTTAGCAACGTTAGAGTGTATTGAATTTTTTTCACTGATTTTAAATATTGTTCACTTGCCCGTTTACATTACTTTACCTACATTTTAATAGGTAATATAAACTACTATTACGTTTATATACGTTTATAATTATTTGTTCCTATCATTATAATATTTAATATTACAGTACCATAAAATGGCTGTAAAAAAAATAGTGTTTAATTTATGAATATAAATTTTATCAAATTGTAGAAAACAATCCTTATTGATAATATCAATTAAGCCTACATCTGGTAAAAATACAGTATTATTTTCATAATATTTACAGTAATATATAGCTTTAAATATTGTAAATATCTTATATTATTTTTATTACTTAATACTAGTTTACATTCTTGTAAATTTCCATTATGTAGAATAGATGAAAAACACTTTGATTTTGTTTCATTTAGATTTACACAATAATAGCTATTAATAAAGATACAATTTCCTTAATAAAGATACAATTTGATAGTGTAATTGTCTAATATATATATATATATATATATATATATATATATATATATATATATATATATTAGTTGCTCAAATATTAATCCGCTCGGGCTCCGAATGATTCTGTTTTTAAGAAGTGAGTCACCCTGTGATTTACGGCCCGATTTTGTATGGCTGCTTCGTGGTTACTGATTTCTCTTTTCAAACGATGGAAAAGCAAGGATCTAATTTAAGTTGTGAACATACTGAAGTCATTGTATTACAAATTAATTGATTTTAATGTCGGTTTTTTTTTATTTTAAACTTTTTGTACGTTGGAACTACGTTAGGTATTGTGTCCTAGTCTTATCAGCGAACTCTTATCTTCATCGATAAGCCAGTCATCTATGAGCTTCGTCAAAGTGAAAAGTGTCCTCATTTAGATTGATTCAATAATTGATATTTTTCTTCTTTTTTTTTACCATATAGATTCCTATTTTGTGATATCTTCAACTTCTCTTGTGAATACATACGGCAAGGATGCCATTTTGTAGTGATCTATGCAGCGGAATAATCGGAAATTTCAGAAACTGTAAGTATGATCTTGTTCAGTTTGAACACTCTATTGAACTCAGATTTTTTTAAACCAGTAGCTATTCTTTACAATTATCGAGCACGCAAGTTAATTGAATTGTTGTGTAGTTGGGAAAAAGAGCAGTATGTAAATATATAAAATAGAGAAATTCTATTGCCGTCTGAAATCTGTTTTTTTTTCTTTCATATACGGCTATATAAAAAATAAATCAATTCGGTTTCTGTATTGGGCTATAAATGTTCTTGTTGAAGAGTGATTCAGTCTTGAAAAGATATTAAACTGTTTTATAACGCCCACGTCATCATTTATATGAGTGAACTTAGTCATAAATGATTTCATCTTATCTCATGTTTGGCCTAGTGACAATAAATTCAACCGGTGGCTTATGCTTGAGGTTATAAAGCAAAAATAAAATAAATGCCATCATTTTAATGCATTAAGTGATTTCGGTCAAATATACTTTGTTCCTCCATCAAGAAATCTGAAGACTTTTAAAATCCCATAAGGTTTAAGAAATTTATGATACCCCCAGTAGGCTTTTTTTTTTTGTTATCACACAAAATGTTTTATTAATTTAAACAAAATTATCTAAGAAAATAAAATGATTGTTCCCTACTAATGTTTAATACGAAACAAAATGGTTTATTTAGTTAAAAAAATCACAGGTTTGAAGCATCATAACCTAGATTAAAAGAAAAAAAACAACATATTTTTGATGTAATGTAATGAAAAAATTAAATTTTAAGGATTTTTCGAAATGATAACTTTTAATATTTCTGTACCTGATATCTATCTAATAAACATAGTTGGGACTATAATGCTATAAACTATAAAGATTAGTTTATAATTTATATTTGTTTTTATAAGTTCTAAAGAAACAGCTTGGAAATTTAATTTAATCTAGTTAGTTATGTTAATCTAGTAACAATGTTAATGTAACGTAGTTTTAATATAATAAACATTGTAAAAACTTTAAGTAGTTACGGGTAACAAAAACTTATCAAACACAAAAACAAACACCACGAGCAGGTGACCGCTCTTGATTCCTCGGTTTAGTTTTTTGGTATATTGATTTTCAGTTTTAAGTACTTTTTTTATTATACTAATTTTTCCATTATGGAGTTCGTGGTGGCCGAGCTGGTTGAAACACGCGCAAAGCCTGTTAACTCCCAAGAATCTTTGACTCGTGCTAGGTGATGTAACCAGCCTACAGATTCCGTCGCCTGGGGTAACGGCGCCTAGGGAGAGATTTAACCATACCTCCTTCTCCCACCAATAATTGTAGCTTAATTTTTATGATCTAGTTTTAAAACTTTACAAATTAATTCAGTGATCGATAGATTTCGAATTCATAGTTGGCTTGTAGATTTAGTTTTATTTTAGATGACATCTGGCAGGAAGGAAAGGAAGATGTATTTTCACGGAGGCAGGAGAAAATTGTTGATGCTTGTTATATATATATATATATATATATATATATATATATATATATATATATATATATATATATATATATATAAAACAATATATATTACATATACATATATGTATATATGTGTGTGTAGCTTAATATATGTGCTAGTGGACGGTGCTAAGACTGTCGGTGTGTCCCTGGCCTGATCGAAGCTCTATTTTTTAAAAGTAGGTTAAACATTTTAAAATAATTGTTATTAAAGACATATGGAAGCATAATTATGTACCTATTGAGCTATTTGTAGTTCTAGCTTTGAAGAGGATCCTCCATCGTTCACTTATAAAAAGAAAATACCGGGATCGAAACGTCAATAAACATAGAGGAAACGAACATTCAGTAGTTTATTAAATGATTAATAAGTGACCTTATTCCCAATTAAATAGTTATGTTTAAATTTAATACTCAAAGTTCGATTAAGGAAAAGTTGTAAATATATATTCTCCATTTGGTTTGCATAATCCCACCATTATGAATTTCTCCAGTTCCTCGACAGTAGAAGAGGCTGTGCAGACTCGAATACAAGTTCCTCTTTTGACCTTTGTTGCTTATATTGTGGGCGAGGAATATTTAATGACTCGAACAATGAATAATAATTCACAATTAAAAGATATGATACAATAATTACTATTATTAATGAATAACAATATAATTCAAAGTTATAGGGTGGGATGGATGGGAGGAAAGTGATGAGGTATATTAAATAACAGCTCCCCCAAAATATAAAACTGTTATATTTTCATTGGTATATGTTTCTTTCTAGATAAATAATAAAAAAAAAAATAATAATATTTTCTCTTTTTGTTAAATTAAAACAAATTCACTTTGGATATTTAATGTACACACGTGCCAAGAAATAATATAAATTTCTTTATAAGAAAGTCGAAGACCTGCAAAGTCGGGTCGAAACGTCGCCTTTCAATAAAATAGTTTTACCACTATTTAGCCTATTTATGACCGCAACCCCGGACCATCTCCTTCCTTTATAATGCAACGGTCAACTATTAAATATTCATTAATATAAATTTCCTAAAACCATGAAATTGTTCCTTTAATTTCCGTTGTTGGGAGGAGGAAAAAGCACCCCTTCCTAAAATCAAATCCTAAATCCGCTGCTTCCTGGGGTCATCTGCCTGAAGAGGAAGCCCCTTCCCTCCAAAACGAGTTCTCTTATCTGCAGCAAGGTCAGTGCCACAGCTGACTACTGTTTATTTACTTATGGAACCAATCGAACCGTTGATACACATAAACATTTGTTTGGATCCAGCCAATACGAGAAGGAGCACCCAGTGCTATTTAAAAACGAGCTTCCCGGGCACCCAAAAAAACGGGCGCACACCAGGGACGCCCGACTTGGATTGGGGACCGTAACTTTTTTTTAACTATAAAAAATAAAAAAATTGATGAAGACGATACTACATTTAGTGATATACCGTAAGCGGTTTAACAACGAGGAGAGGAAATATATCGATGAGTCAGCACTCAATATTACTAAAACCATAAAAGAGCAACATCGAGAAGGATCAACTTAAAAACATCTTAAGAAAAACAAAATTACGGCTTGAGTAATTTAAAAAAGATAAATTACAGGTAAAATAGGATTTTCCGTAAAATTTTATGCCTATAATAAAGCAACTGAATCAGAGATACATCGAATTAAATAAAATTCAATTATATCATATTTATTCACGTGTGACATTTTGTTATGAATCATATTTTTATTTTTGCGGGGTGGAGGGAGGGCTTTCTTGGCTCAATCGTCGTACCAAATGTCGAAGGTAGCCATTGTCTGTACCTACAGTTTAATATCTGATATTAATTCGTGGCATCGTCGTCTTTAGTGTTGCCCAAATGCGAGATTGAGACGAATCTTGGTCTTGCAAAGTCAGTCTTGGTATTGCGCAAAAGTCTCGCAACAGTCTTGCGGTTACTTATTAGCTTATTACTATTACGCCAGGGTCGTTTTCGACTTAAGATGGCAGTGGCAGTTAATGTATCATATATAAGGATTAGGGGGTGTTATTGGTCGTTCTGTTAAAATAGGGATCTACAAACATTTTGTTTGGGGCCATATTGAGGTCTCCACGAAGTCCCACATGTCATGACTTGTGATGATCAAATTATCGATTTTTTTTTGTTGTGATTCTGTAGTAGTCATTTAGAACTTTTTTATTATTTATTTTTAAAATTTGAAACATTAAGTTATTTTTAGGTGAACCAGTAATATTATTATCGTTAATGTAAAGTAGTGTTGCCCAAATGCGAGACGAATCTTGTTCTTGCGCTAGAGTCTCGCAACAGTCTTGCGGTTACATATTAGCTCATTACTATAGAGATATTATTGTAATTTTTTAGTTAGGAGAAACCTAACCAAGCCCGAATGAAAAATTAAAAGGGGCTAAATGCCAAAGGATGAGGGTTATACCAATTATTAACACATAATAACTATGATTGTCGAGTGTTACTAACTATTTTGCTCTGATTTTTATTTAAAAAATTGATTTTTTTTACCAAGACCGATTTTGGGCAACACTAGTCGTCTTGAAAAACATTTAAAAAATCATTTAATAATTACAGTCATTAATTTCTATACAGTGAAATAATAATTATTATAATTTAATTGTATAAAAATGAAGTATAGAAATTTTTTTTTTTATTTCTTAATGACATTTACAACTGTATTACATAAATACATCAAGTAAATTTGGACATAATAGATATAATGACATGAATACACTTGCTGAGCAACTACCCAATGGTAGCACTCTAATGATATGACTACATCAGGAGATCACGGGGCCATCTTCTTTTCAGACGCCTCGGAGGGTTATCAGGAATTGAAGAGGAAGCAAGGTTAGAAACAAGAAGGTTGGGATGATTCTGAAGTTTATTATGGAAGGATAGGTATCTGGATTGGGCCAGATCTAAAACATAAGGAACATTAAGATCTTTATGGATAATTTTATTAGCGACAAAGTAAGGAGCATTGAGGATTTTTCGAAGGATTTTGGATTGTAAGGATTGGATGCGAGAGGAATTCGATGGTTTAGTGGAGCCCCATAGCTCAACTCCGTAAGTCCAAATAGGTCTTATTATAGTCAAGTATATAAGTCTTTTGTAATTAATGGGAAGTTTAGAGCGTTTGTCTAGTAAGTGCTGAAGTAATCGGAAACGTCGAGCGGTTTCTTGTCGTTTCAGTCTAGTATGAGGATTCCAAGTTAGTCGTTTGTCCAGGTGGAGTCCTAGGTATCGGATTAGCTCAACAGGGATAAGTGGAGTATTGTTAAAGGAAACTGTAGGACAGGAAGTCGTTGGTTTACGACGAAGAGTAAAGGTAATTTGGTGGGATTTATTGGAGTTTATTTTAATTCTCCAGTTTTGACACCATTCTTCTAGATTTATGATGTGTGATTAAAGCATTTGGGATGCAATTGATGGGTCATTGTTTATTGATAGGATACATGTGTCATCGGCATATGTGGTGATAACAGGTAGGGATGTCAGCTGTATAAACTGTATAGAGGAT